CTTCAGCTGGTTAATGGCTTCTGAAGTGTTCATGCGTTCTATGTTCGCTTCCCTCTGCAGCTGGTCCACTAAGACCCGAAGCTGTTGTTGACTTGACATCTGAAAGGAAAAAGAGATTGTTTGGATATCTATATATATAGATCACCAGACAGCATGATAGAAAACTAGGTATAAAGATATTCATATATAATGTGAAAAGGGATTAAACAGTTTCATAGATGTTTATGTAATCTTCTTACATATTATACAACTCCTGCAAGGACTTACCCGAAGAAAAGTTGATAAAGAAAGAAAGAGAACTAGAGATGGGGTGAGTTACACTTTAAAAACTAAAAGGGATAAAAGAGCCACAGGATAAAGAAATAAAAAAGAGAACAAAAGAAAGAAAAAATGAAAGAAAGAAAAAATTAAAGAAAACAGAGCCAGGGTATGCACACCAAACAACAGGGAACTGACGCAAGGTAAGCAGATCCCCAAATGAAAGCAACATGAAGCTCTTGTGAGACTTGCCTGCACACAAGATCTTTATCATCACCCACCACCCTTGCACCTCTCCTTCTCTCTTAGCTTTCATTCAATACCTTCCTTTAATTCTCTCTCTCTCTCTCTCTCCCACCCTCTTCCTCCCTCTCCCTCCTCTTTCCCATTCTCCCTCCCTCCCTCTCTCTTCTTCCCTCTATCTATTTCTCTCTCCCCCTCTCTATCTCTCTCTCTCTCTCCCCTCCTCTCTATCTCTCTCTCTCTCCCTCTCTATCTCTCTTTCTTCTATCTCTCTCTCCCCCTCTAATCAAATTAAATCAAAATTAAATCTGTATCTCTCTCTCCTTCTGTATCTCTCTCTCCCTGTCCCTCTCTCTCTCTATCACTCTCTCCCCCCCTCTCTCTCTCTATCCCCCTTCTCTCTCTCTCTCTCTCTCTTTCTATCTCTCTATCACTCTCACTCTCACTCTCGCTCTCTTTCTCTCCCTCTGCCTCTCTCTCCCCTTCCCTCTCCTTCTTTCTGTTTTTCATGTAAAAATAATGAAGAAAAAATGAAAAATACCAAAATTGAAGTTCCTCTCTGCCATTCTTTCCTTCCCCCAACCAACACACACACACTTAGGTGTGTACCTTCCACCCTGCTTTTACACTCTCACTCTCTCTCTTTCTCTCCTCAGCCGTCTCCTGCTGTGTAAACACCACACATAAAAGGGGCTTGTTACAAAGGACGGCTTTTCCTTGTGTCTAATCCTAACACCCGACACCGAACACGCTCCTTACATCTCCAACCTCTTCCGCCCTTCTCCCCTCCCAACCCCCATCTCCAACTCATTCTCGGGTTTGGTGCTGGTTTCATTGAGCTGCACTTATGAGGAAGTAAGAGGAGGAAGAAGGAGGGTTCGAAGAAAAGGAGGGGAGGAGAGAGAGAGAGAGAGAGAGAGAGAGAGAGAGAGAGAGAGAGAGAGAGAGAGAGAGAGAGAGAGAGAGAGAGAGAGAGAGAGAGAAGAGAGAGAGAGAGAGAAGAGAGAGAGGAGAGAGAGAGAGAGAGAGAGAGAGAGAGACGAGAGAGAGAGGAGAGCAGGAGAGAGAGGAGAAGGAGAGGAAGAAGGAGAGGAGAGAGGAGAGAGGAGAGAGGAGAGAGGAGAAGAGGAGAAAGGAGAAAAGGAGAAAGAGAAAGCGAGGAGAGAGGAGAAAGGAGAGAGGAGAGAAGAGAGGAGAAAGGAGAAAGGAGAAAGGAAGAAGATGAGAGAGACAAGAGATGAGGACGATAGAAGAGAGATATAGAAAAAGGGGGGGAGAGAGATAGAGGTAGATAGATAGCCTGAAAGAGAAAAACAAAAGAGTGAGACAGAAAGAGAAAGAAGTGGATAAACAGGGATAAAAAGATATTGCAGAAGAAAGACAAATAAAAGAGACATAGAAAGAAAAAGAAAGAAAATTGAAAGAGCAAGAGAAGGGAAAGGGAGAAACATATGGACAGATAAAGAGAAACATAGAGAGAAAGAGCACAGGGAGAGAGAACACAATGAGAAAGAGAAAGAGGAACAGATGACAGGAAAAGTAAGAAACAAAGAAAGAGATCGATGATAAGATCCTACAATAATTCTGACATTCTAAAAAACTCCCATCCAAACAAAGAGAAGGAGAGAAAGAAGGAGAGAAAGACAACACAAATATATATATATATATACTATACTATAATATATATTATATAATATATATATATATATATATATATATATAACGTATATATATATATATATATATACTATATATATATATATATATATATATATATATATATATATATATATTTATACACATATATGTATAAAAGCACACACACACGCACACACACATATATATAATACCCTCTCACTTTTAAGGAAAAAAAACAAAAGAAAGAACACCTATTTCAAGAGCTGAGCTATATTCTACGTGATGAAAAGGTTACACTATGAAATACAAACAGGGAGCCAGTACTGGCAAACACAGGGCTCTAACCTCCCATTCTCTTAGTGTTCTCCCTCCGTCCATCTACTTTTGTGTCTGTCTGTTTGCTTGGAGCCTTTTCTCTTCTCTCTCTCTCTCTCTCTCCTCTCTCTCTCTTCTCTCTCCTCTCTCTCTTCCCCTTCTTCTTCTTCCTCCTCCTCCCCTCTTTCCCTCCTATCTTCCTTCCTTCCCCCCTCTCCCTCCCTGTTAAATCCCTCCCCCTATCTTCTCCCTCTCTCCCCTCCTCCGTTCCTCCCTCCCACCCTCCACCCCAACTCCTATACCTATGGGATTATCTTTCTTTATATCCCATCCCGCCTCGCTCTCGCTCTCGTATCTACTCCAGTCCATCTAGTCTAAAGCCTTTTTTTTCGGTTCAATTTTTTTTTCTTCGTTTAAGAGTTCCTTTCAAGAATGAATTGAATGTATACTCGGACAGGCTCGCTCGCCTCGCCCTTTCACTCGTTCGCTCGCCTTCCACCCCTCTTTCTTTCTTCCATTTGTTCGTTTTTTTTTTTTTTTTTTTTTTTTTTTTTCTACGCGCGACCGATGCGTCAATTCGTAATGAGGTACTCAGGAATCATAGGAAGGGTAGTGTGTTGAGAGCAGTGGGTAAAGTGTAAAGTGTAGATGGTAAAGTATAATGTAGAGAGTAAAGTATAATGTACAATGCACAGTATAGTGTAGTGTGCGTGTGCGCGTGTGCGTGCGTGTGCTTGCGCGCGTGTGTGCGTGTGCTTGTGTTTGCGCGTGTGTATACGTGTGCGTGCGCGAGCTTTTTAGCTTGTGTTATGAGCATATGCGTTTGCTAACGTGTATGGGTGACTGTGAGGCCTAAAATTAATATCCATTTAAAATATCTGATCCAAGGGCTAAACAATTATTTTGAAACATGTTTCGAAGTCTCGTCTCGAACACGCAAACACACATGGCCGCTGTAGTAGCCTTGGTTGGAAGAGTTTCGAAGCTGCATTCAAGACAAAGGACTTTTTGTCCCGTGCCTGTACATACCTACACGCTCAGCTTCTAGTAGCACCTAAGGAATCCTACACGCATAAATGGAGCCTCTTGGAGCATCTACAGACACAAAAGGAGAATGGAGGGCTCTTGGGCGACTCATTCGTGAAGCATCAAAAGGCCACCAAGACTGAAGAATCTCGTACAACGGACAAAAAGGGAGGGAAATTCAAACACGAGATGGATGGATGAATGGCTGTATGTAAATATGTAATGGTATATTTTCTTTTCTTTTCTGTGGAGGCGGGGGATTCTGTGTTTTAGTAGCATCTACTTAAAATAGAAAAAAGTATATGAATAAATAAATAAAACGTACTGTCAGTTACCAAAGAGTTTCCACATCTTACGATTTACGTGAAACAATCTAAACCTACAAAAAAATAAACAAACGACTAAACAAAATCTTGAACTCCAGTCTTCAGGCACTAAATCAAAACAAACAAAGACAACAGAGAGCAATCTCACGATTCCTTTTAGTCCGCGAAGAATATCTCTTGATTGCCTCCCCCCCCCGACCTGCCGCCCCCGCTTTACTGAGATGGGCCCTGCGGGCGGTGAAAAATGAAAATGAGAAGCGGTCTAAAATAAAAAATAGTATTTTGAGTAATTCAGCTCCATCTCTAATAGAAAATAGGGAGGGGGAGGGGGAGGGCGAGAGGGGAGAGGGGTACAGAGGGGGAGAGGGAGGTAAAGGGCAGGAGGGGAGGGGACAAAGCACGTACAGCAGAGAGGGAGTGATAATAAGGGAATACTAAACAACACAGACACACATTGCGAATCTCTGAAAATCCTACCTGTCAACTATTATCATTACTATTTTTTGTAAGTCTTGTTAACCCCACTGCCTACCCTCATTATGTATCTGTAAGAATTATATTATTAAGTATCAATTATCATTATTTAAGTATTAAAAGATTATATTATTATATTCGAAATTCATCCGAGGCTAGTAAAACTGCACTGAAAATAGTTAAACCGCGCCAGTTAAAGGTACAAATATTATTTACATGATAAATATCCAGGGGAAGGATGGAGGAAAAGGGGGTGAAGGGGGAAGGGAGAAAAATGGAGACGAGAAGGGGAGCTTTTAGAGAAAAGCAGAGAGGAGAGGGAACGGGGTACTTAAAGAGGAAAAAAGATGGATAACGCAGAAAGGGGGGAAGGGAGAGGGGGCTCAGAGGAAAAAGGGGAGGTAGAGAGGAGGGAGGGAGGGGGGATAGGGGGAGGTGGGAGAGAGAGAAGAAGGGGGATGGGGGAGGCGAGAGAGAAGAAGGGGGATTAGGGGGATGGCGAGAGAGGGGAGGGGGATAGGGAGGTGAGAGAGGGAGGGAGGGGGATGAGGGGGAAGGGCGAGTAGGAAGGGAGAAGGGAGGGGATAGGGCGGGGCGATAAAGAAGGTGGGGGGGGGGGAGTTGAAGGCGGAGAGGAAGGGAAGAATTAGGACAGGGGGCTGTGTAAAGGTGTTGAATAGCGGAAGGGCGAGAGGTTAAGGAAGGATAGGGAGTGAGAGGGAGTGAGGGGAGAGGGAACAGGAAAGGAAGGGAGGAGGTAAGAAGGTTTGGGAGTGACGAGGGAAAGTGAGGGAAGAGTGGAAACAGAAAGGAAGGAGGAGGT